TGATAGTGAGTTTCTTGTCAACAGATGTGCAGAGCATTCCCATCACTGAGAAAATCAAAGTTTCTTCAAAATACTGGGAAATACGGCATCCTCATCAAGCATCCTCATCTAGCCTGCCATGGTAAGAGTGTGAAAAGCAGGAATAGCAGAAATGGGAGTTTTGAGTTCAGGATTTCTGACAAACAGTTCTGAAGACACTCAAAGGATCCATACTGGTATTTTGCTTACTTCTATAACCAGTACCTGTGAGTTTATTTTTCCCTACTTTCTGTACATCTGTTTAAAATAAAAAGCCTTTGTTGGAAAGCCCTGTGTCAGAAGTGGGTATCTTAAAACCAGAGACCACCCCTTTTCAAGTCAAATCGTTTCAGAAGTTTATACTCCTCAGAAAAGATGAGAGAAATATGATCAGGGAAGTCTGTTTTGATTAATTGCTGCTTGATTAACCTCAGTTGCAAGGTATCTACACGCCAGCAATTTGTAGTTTTACGTTGATGGCTGATCAGTGTTGGTCGTTTTCTTTTCTATCTGAGTCATCTGGTTCTGCTGTACAAGGAATGTGAATTTACTAGAGAATTGTCTCACATTTTCTGTGTCAAAATAATATGTTGCAATGGTCATTTTAAACTAATTAGAGCTGATTGCAGAAACCACCCAGTTTTGGAGAGGAGACAGCAGCTTTCTTATAACCCCAGAAAGACATTATAGACTGGAAGAAGTTCAGAAAGGATAACAAAAGATAATAAAAAGTATTTAAGCTGCAAGGACAGCTTCTCTACAAGCAGTACCTAAAAGAGGTGACAATATTCATCCAGGAAAAAAAAACAGAAGGGGGTTTGTTGGGACCCTACAAAATCAGGAAGAGGATGAATGCAGATTGAGCCTGAGGAATACAGACAAGACATAGAGGATACGAAATGAAATTTGCTGGAAGCAGGTTCAGACCAAATGAAGCACATTTGTCCTTACTTCAGTAGCATTTAATCTGCAGAGATCCTTGCCATAGATATCATGGGTGCCAAAAGGTCACACATCTTTACAAGGAGGCTGGAGAGATTCATAGAAAAGTAATCTGTCAAAGGCGATTAAATAGAGTATTGGTGCCTCTGGCTTGGCAGGACAAGCTGAAAGTTGCTGAAGACTCCGAGGACATTTAAGAAAATATTTCTCAATTTTTGCCATATTTTGTATAATTTCCTAGCTGCATCCACTTGGCACCATCCAAGACAAAATAATGGGCTAGAATACAGCTTGCTGTGGCCCAGTTTATCTGATTTTTGTTCTTTATATGAGCCTGAACCAATAGCTAAGTTGGGTACCATCCATCTGAGGAAACGCCAGTGAAAATATATACCCAGAGCTAACAGTGAGCACAGAAATCGGCAGCCACAGCAGCAAGGCTGAACTAAGAGATCCTGCCACTGACATACCACTTTCACAGCAGTGCCCAGTCACTGCTGCACAGTGAATGTGGCAGCTCAGTGCAGCCTTGCCTGCAGGATGTATGCATAACTGCCTGGTGCATAGGGTAGATGTACCTATATCACCCTACATTGCTGTTCAAGTAATAGCTCCTCAGTTCTTTTTTGGACCCCAAAGCACCAGTCATACAAACTGCCAAAATGCTGGTTTACTCCCCGGTTCTTTTTTGCAGTGAAACATCTGGTAAAGAACACACAACCTGCAGATCTGGAGACAGCTGAAAATAAGGACCCCTGTGATGGATGAGGCTGCAGGAGATTAGTTTCCCTGCACCTTATAAAGTCCTGCAGTGTTCTTTAGCTGGCAATGTACTATATCACATCTTGGGGCATACAGCTTAACCGCTTGTTTACATCCCTTATTTCAGCTCTCGTTGCCATGGAAACTTCACACTGGGAGGGGCAAAATAAATAAAAAAAGGAAAAAGCAAAATCATAATTTTGTCTTAAAGGGAACCACATGGAGCCCTCAGGAGACCCAGAGTCTAGTGCAAAGCAGCGGGGATGGTGCCCTGAAGAAAGCAAATGCCCTGAGCAGTCTGAGCACAGGCAACTTGGTGTGAGGATGAGGCATTGTGTTCTGAAGATGAATTACTTAGCAGAATTTATGGAGGTGACGCTTCCACTGAGGACGTAGATCACCCTTGAAATAAAATCTTAATTCACTCTAAAAACTTTATATGTCAAATGAAGTCAGGAACAATTGCAGCTGGAAAGGAGGGAGAATATGTGAAAGAACAGCTCTGCAGACACCAAGGTCAGTGCAGAAGGAGGGGCAGAAGTGCTCCAGGTGCCAGAGCAGAGATTCCCCTGCAGCCTGTGGTGCAGCCCAGGGTGAGGCAGCTGTGCCCCTGCAGCCCATGGAGGTCCATGGTGGAGCAGATGCCCACCTGCAACCCAGGGAGTACCCCACAGTAGAGCAAGGAGAAGCCCAAAGGAGGCTGTGACCCTGTGGGCAGCCTGCACTGGAGCAGGCTCCTGATAGGACCTGAGGCCCCATGGAGAGAGGAGGAGCCTACACTGGAGCAGGTTTGTAGCAGAAGCTGAAATTCCACAGGGCACCCACACTGGAACAGCCTGTTCCTGAAGGATGCACCCCATGGAAGAGACCCATGCTGGAGCAGTTCATGAAGACCTGCAGCCTGTGGGAAGGACTCACACTGGAGAAGTCCATGGAGGACTGTCTGCTGTGGGAGGGACCCCACACTGGAGCAGGGGAAGAGTGTGAGGAGTCCTCCCCTAATGAAAAAGGTGTGGCAGAAATGTGTGATGAACTGACCACAGCCCCCATTCCCCGTCCCCCTGTGCCACTGGAACAGAAGAGATAGAAAAATCGAGAGTAAACTTAAGTCTCAGAGGAAGAGATGGGTGGGGGAAGTTGTTTTGTTGTAAGATTTGGCTTTATTTCTCATCATCCTACTCTGATTTGATTGGTAATAAATTAGACTCATTTCCCCAAGTTGAGTCTGTTTTGTCCATGACAGTAATTGGTAAGTGATCTCTCCCTGTCCTTATCTTAACCCACGAGCCATTAATGATATTTTCTCTCTGTTCAGCTGAAGAGGACAGTGGTAGAACAACTTGGTGGGCTTCTGGTGTGTAGCCTGGGCCAATTCACAACCATCCAGATGTTGTCTTCTGACCATCACTAACTTCAGCCTCTTCTTCCTGGCCACAGTGAATTCAGTCTGTCTGTGATGAACCAAAAAACAGTTCCATACAGATTCTGCAGTCATATACTTGTAATAATTAAGAGTACATAACCCCCATAAAATCAGTCAACACTGTCCCTCTATGGCATAACCAAGGTATGACCCCAACATTCAGAACTGTTAGCAGCAAAGAGCCTAACTATAGCTCCTTTTCCACTGGGTGCTTGGAGTTTTTTGGCGAAATGACTTCTCTGATAGCTTAAGAAACATCAGAGAAGTTAAAGGCAGTGCTGACTGTAGGAGACTGCACAGCACTAAAAAACTGTGCTGCACAACATGAGAGTGAAAGGTCTAACAGAGCCCTGACAGCCTATCAGGAAACCAGCAATACAAAGGGGCAGGTCACAGGCATCACCGAGCCAGCCACCACCTTTATCACTCAGTGGCCAGATCTCTTCTATACTTAGGTCAGACACAGGAGAAAAAGGGAGAGGAAAATCGTATCTGTGCCCAAGGCTGAATTCACATCTTCAAGGTTTGCCAGGGTGCTTTCTCCAATAGGTCACCACAGCCTCCCCACGTGTAAGAACACTGAAATCAATGCCAGTAACTTTTGGCTGTGGGTTGACACAGTGTTTTGCTCTTTCTCTCATGTGATGTGAACAAGCAAAGAGAGGTGTTTTACTGAAGTGCCATTGCAGCGTGAAGCATAACAAGGCCCCTTTTTCTGTGTGCTACGGTATGCTCTGACATATGGTACTGAATGTACTTGATTATTGCCTAAACTCTGTTAATTTCTAGGAATTGGTAAGGAAGCAGACTTCCAGCTAAGTTCCTTATCCTTATATACCCCCTGGAGCCAGCCACTTCAGTAACATATTTCAGCAATACAGTAATGAAGGAGATCCCTGTATGAGCCACTAGACTGCCCTCACTGTTTTCCTTACTTCTTACTTGTCTCTAATAAAATCCCTACCTGGGGAGAGAGAAAAGAAAGGGAAAAAAGGGAAAAATCAAAAGATGAATGGCTTTCCCAGGCTGAATTCCACTTACTTTAGCTGCTCACTATGGTCTGGATCAGACAATCCCAAGCTGTGATTTGCTGGTTATTTCATAGCTGTGCAGTGGAGGTATAGAGGCAGGCAAAGACCACCCTTAAGGTATGAATGTCATCTGGAAATACTTCTGTGGGACACCTTAAATAGGTCTCACAGGTCTCAGTGTAAAGCTGATGAGCTAATGCTGGGCTGGGCATTCTACCCTGCATTCAGGTGTCTGTGACTGCCCCTAATCAGCTCCATAAGCTGGTGCTCAAGACAGCTCTGGAGCATCTCTATAACATCATCTCTACAGGTGCAGTATCTCTTCAGCAGAGGACTCAGGGCCAAGCAGTGGCCTCCAGGATCAACTTGGTCTCTGATGCAGTCTCAGCTCCCTTTATCTTATGTTTGGGCACAGAGTCTTGTGCCCTCTACATGGCATTCCTCCTGGAAGATATGCAAGAGAGATGTCATACTACAGGCAGAAGAAATAATTTCTGATGAGCTAATAAAGCAATGGGTTATAAAGTGCTTTAATGGGTAAATGTAAAGCTGTTTGCATCTCCCAGAGACTGGAAATATAAGGACGCCACTGGCTCAGGGACATAAGGTCTCTGATTCCTGTACTGCTCTTGGCTCCCTCTTAGCTCTTTACAGCCTTCCCAAAAGACCTTAGACTTCAGACTGCCAAGAAGGAGAAAGCAGAAAAGTTATCACAGGTAGGAACTCAAAACAACACTGAAGTAAAGCATCTACTACCTCTGTTTTCTACTCCAGTGAATGTCTCTGCGTCTGAAAACAAGTGGTAGGAACTAGAAAACTTTCTTGGCAGAATGTTTTTTGCTCCATGAGGCTTGGTCCTTATTTTCTGTCTTCCACTGGCAGTACTCTCCTGTTCCATGTCATTCTTTGTGATTCCAGCCTCCTGTCCTTTCCCTGCCACACAACAGAGACCCAAAGTGAATACATAAATTCACTGAATTAATAAAGGAAATGACTGGACCTAGCAAGACAGGCACCTGTCACCTTGGTGGTATCCGCTAGGCTCATTCCACTCCACATCAGGCACTGCTGCGTGCTCAGACCATGAGGTGTTTAAAGCAAGGATTATGTCTTCTGAAGTTTGCACAGAGGTGCTGACTGTGGCCTTTGGGCAGTGTGAGCATTAAATAAGACCCTTGTGCTAGAAAACATTCCCACCTGGAAAGGTTCAAAGAAAAGCCTCCTTGTACAAGTGAAATTCCTGCTTGGTGCATAGGCTGCTTATTTAACAGAGCTTGGCAACTGAAGCAAATCACTGTGAAAGAGCAAGCAGAGACTTCCCATTGCTCGCCACCTGCCCTCCTCACAGCCAGATCCACTAACTCGTGCCTGCTGTTTTACCAACCTAGGAGAGGCAATAAGATGGGGCCTTTCCTGCATGCAGAAGTGATCCTGCAACTTTCCGAAATGGGAAGTATCAGCCCTGAGGAGAAGCCAATGAAAACATTAATGCAAAGGACAACATCTGACATTCAAACCATATGTGATACAATTTCCAACTAAGACTGATGTGAGTACATGCTGCAACAAATTTTTATCATTAATTATTCTTGAAGACCAAGTAGAAAAATAGTTTGTTCCACTGCCCTTTCATTTCTGCAGCTGCTGACAACAATCCGTTTGCTCTTACCAGTCTTGTGTGAGAGTCATAAAGAAGAATTGAAGGAGGAAGGAATGGATTGCCTCGCTGAACTCACAAATCGAAAGTTAATCAAAAACCATTTGCTCTTTCCTCTTTCTCTTACTCCTCCCAGTACAAGCTGTACATATCACACATTAGAGGGATTCTGTTTATATGATTACATTTGTGACCATACATTACACCTACTACATAAAAGCAATGCCTGGGACTACCCAGCACTGTATTTTAAGCCTTCTGTGATGACTTTCTTCTTGACTCTCTGCATTTCACCATGTGGAAAATGGGATACATGCCCTATTCCTGCACATTGCTTTGAGCTGTATGGATGAAAAGTGCTGTATATGTACTCCTGACTATGGGCAGTTTATTTGTTCCCCTAATAACCAGTTCCCTCAATGAAGAGATTTTTATTAAGATCAACAGGAGAGCAGGGGAGTAGAGGGAAAGGCATTTAAATTGGGGTAGGATTTTTAAAAGTGAAATTAGTCCATGCCCTTGTAATATAACATCTAGGAAAAGAAACATTATTTCAACAGGTGCATTTTATATATCACATGCACGTGCACTTTCACTGCTTGAAGCCCCTCTAGTGAAATTCACCTGGGCAGCAAATGAGCCTGTAAAGTTACATTATTAATTTTCAGGCTAGCATTCCCTTTTAGATAATCAACGTCATGCCTTAGTAATTTGCTCAACGAAGCCGATTCAGCAAAATTGCCTTTTTTACAGCATATGTACCCCATATGTGAAGGCTGGACCTATCTTTTCATTCCAGAAGAGTAAGTAAGAACATGTTGTCAGGATGATGTAAATGCAAGGCTTACACTAATCAGCCATGATGCACTGTCTAAAGATTTGACTAGAAGCTGAGCACTCTTTCTGTATTTATATGCCATATTTCTGCACATTAGAGCTCATGAAATAAAGCAACATGGTGCCTATGATCAGACATGATGCAAGCTGGACTGCATGTACAGGTTTCATGTACTACCATCAAAGGAGAAGCTGTACTGTGCTCCCACTGCCTAGCCTCATCTGGGCTGACATAAAATGGAGAAAGCACAAGGAACATACAGGACAGATAATGGATTCTGCGGGACAGGCACTCAGAGCACTTCTAGCAGCTTGTATTCAACTTATATGAGGGCAGTTAGTCAAAACAAGAGCCACAGAATGGAAGGTGGCTAAAAGAGGCAGAAGTATTTAATGCGTCTTACGAAACATATAGCTATATACGACACATATTGTACTTGCTATTAAACCATGGACTAAGCAAGCCATGGTGGCTATGTGTCGCAAGCCTGTAGGCTAGTCTTTAGACCCTCAGATCTCCTTCTGGCTTAACTTCAGTCATTTAAATGTAGATGTACAGACAAAGCCAACCCTCTGGACGTCCTTCACTGCAAGTGGATGTAGATAAATACAATCAGTGAGATGCATCAAGCTTATTTCAAGCACTTGGCTTATGACAGGATAAATTATTCTCTAAAGGAGCCTTGCAGTCTCCACTGAGTGTAGCAGGAAACATAGAGTTGATAATTTTTAGATGGATTAAATCAGTCAGGATGAAGCACACACCGAGTCGTATCCACTGGGAAAAGCCTTGATACCAGCATGACTTCACCTGAGTACAAATTTCCAGTCATGCAGAACCATGGGCAGATGGGCCTGCAGTAGAGACAAAACTTCAGTGGTGCTTCTCAAGTGGATAGTGAGAACCAAATTCAGCCCACCTGAATGATGAACATCGTGAAACAGAATGCTCAGTTTCATCAAAGACATTATAGTGGAGAAACACCTTAATTATTATTGACCACAGTCAATGCTTATGAAAAGCTTTGGAAAAAAATCAGTGTCTCATTTGCTAATTGCTTTTCACTGAACTGGGTATCTCAGAGGGGAAAGTACCATCTGATGCCAGAAGGAAAAGAGGATGAACTTGGCATAATCTATTTTGTGTAAATGAAACAATGTGGGAAACGGAACTTCCAGGGACAGCCTGTGTGAAGAGGTTACAAATATCGCTTTGCCCAGAAGGGATGATCTCATGGTTTCTGTCAGAAATACTAAAATATAAACATGCATTTTCTGGAATATGGACTTAGAGATGTATGGTCTTTGTACTTACAGACTCGTTTTCCCATGGAACTTCATGAACTGAGTGAATCAGCCCACAGCTTTTCTTTCTTTTACTGTTATCTTGTAAAAATCTCTGGTTTTCATGTTATTATCCTTCTCCGTATTTTCTGACATTGCATCTGAAATGCATTAAAAGATTATTCAAAATTTGGACAGACAAATGCAACAGAACAATTACATTTAAACATTTTTGATCTCAAATGTTTAACAGACCACTACAACTTCATATCTACATACCAGACAGTCCCACAAGAGAGTTTTTCTCTTAGTTCTCCTTATGAACTTCATAATGAAAAATGCATCATTTAGATTCACATTTGATTCGCTGCACAGAAATATATGTCTGTAGGCATTTTGCAGATTAAACTGATCTGAGATATAAGTGGGTGTGCACAACTTTGATTTCTTGTGTGTTGAATTAGAATCCAAGAACCTGAAATAACACAACTAGGGAAAAAATAAGGCTGATTTATCAATTTCAAAAACTGATCCCACAAATCTTACTCTAAAATTTCCTTCCCAAGAGCTCTCAGTAAAAAATCTCCTAATAGATTTATTTTCCAACAGAGCAACTCTGGGTTTCAAGTCAGAGCTGTGCAACCCAAAAGATGTCAGCTGGTCCTGGGACCAGACCCCAGGAAGCATTATCCAGAGAAAGGATCAGCACAGACGGGGGGTTCCAAATCACAGCCCAGACCTCTAGATCTGCAACTGGGCAGGTAGGGTGGGATGAAGAGCAAGCTTCTGTCAGAGTAAATGTGGTAAATAGGGTTAGGGTGCAGCACTGGCAATAGATGAATTTGTTGGTGGCAGTTCCAACAGGTGATCCAGTAATCACCTATGATTTTATCAGTGGATTCTTCAGAGCCAGGACAAATCTCTTTCTGCATGACCAAACATAAATTGATATATTATTTAATATTGTTTATTGTTTAATATTGTTTAATATTGTTTAATCTGTCATACTTAGACAGTCCAATTTTTTTTTTTTTTTTTTTGCAGACCGGTTGCTATGCAACAGATCTCTGCCAAAACAAATTATGAGGATTATGCTATCTGTCACCAAGGCAGGTCAAAAAATCAGAAAGGAAATTAGCACATGGCAAAGCTGCAAACTTGTTCTTTCCTATGTAATAACTATTTCCACTTAGCTTTTGCTTTTTGAAGACAGTCAAGAGTTCAAGTGCCTTCAGAACAGTGGGACAACAGCATCCTGAGACAGGCAATAAAAGCAATACTAATCACTTCAGGTTTCAATGTCTGTGGCCATAAGCCATTTCCCTCAACTTAGACTGGCAAATCAATGTGAGATTGGAGGGCCACACACATTTTAAAATCAACAATTATTCAAAGCCAACAAATAGTTTGTATCGTGGTGGAAAGAGAGGACTTACAAGCTGTAGAGCAGTTGGCAGAATCAGTTTTATAGCTCACAATGCTAGTCAAGAACACAACAATTTTATAAATTAGAAGCTTATTTTTGCTTCTGTAGACACTTTGTGACCTTCTACAATGTGTATTTGGTAAGAAGATTAATCTATACTTGTTAGAAGTCCACGGCCTTGATAGACCCATTTTTACTTCTTTGTCCTTGCCTCCACTTCTGATGACCCAGTCTTGAACAGCCCAAACAATTTTGCATAGCAAAATACATTTCACCTAATGGGGAGAATACACTGGTTTTATTCAAGTCAATGGTGAAGCTCCCATTGTTTTTTCTATATCCTTAATTCTAAAGAAAGTAGAAAAAAACAAAAGCTGACAGAAAAAATGGGTCTATCGCCTTCCTGACTTGGATATGCATCACTCCCAATGTGATATCTGCATTACAGAAGAAAAATTATGTGCTCTTTGCTCCTAAACTCAAAGAAGTTATATCAAGAAGTTATTAATGTTGTTTTCTCCCAACGATCTAGTTGTTAGCTGACGGAACATACCTTCCTCATCAGGCACAACTGTAATACCTTCTCTTAATTCAGAACTGAATCTGAGAATAAAAGTGGTTCAGAGTATGCAGGAGAATTTGGAAGACATGAGTGCTGCACTCTGTGGCTTAAAGGACAAAAAAAAGGGAACAGTCATGAATTATCCCTCACAAACTGTGATAAAGAAAATCATGGGTCAAAGTGGCATAAGGATCTCTAAATACAAAAGGATTTCCAATTTTGAAACCATTTTCACATTACACACTGCAGCAAATGCATCTTGTCTCCTCTATGCTAACAATCTGAAATTCCTAAATAATCATTCCTTCTTTTTGCAGCAAGAGTCCAATCATGAGGATGTCAAATCAAGAATACAGAATTTGACTGGCACTGTCAGGTTCCTAGAGGAGTCCAAAGAAGAACCGAAGGAGGAGTCCAAAGAAGAACAGAAGAAAGCTCTGAAGTCAACTCTTGGATAGTGATGAGAAGTTGGATACTTCAAAGCTCACACAGCTGTAGAAAGGATGTTTACAAATTAAGGATGACTAAGGTCAAGGACACCTACTAGTCAAAAATGTGTAGTTTTTATTATTAGCCAAATATGAGAAATCTAATGGATCCTCCCTGCTGTTCTTTTAAAGTCACACGATGTTCTTTATTCTGATCATTCATGCAAAATTAACTTAGTTCTGTTCAATTCCTGCTGGCCCATGACAGATCATAAAAAAATTGCTAATAGTTACTTAAATGACATCCATTCCTCTAAGGGTGATAAAAATTTTGTTTACCCTCTGCAACTGCCAAGGTGTTTTAGTTGGATTTGGATAAATGTTTGTTTGCAACGCTGGCAATCCCACTGGGGAAATCCAGCCTGGAAATTTGCTAATTGCATTTTTTCCTCCAAGTCACAGACCACTCCTACTGCTTTTATGTGGTTTTCCACTCAGCATTGTCACTTCAGCAATGCAGCACTCAAAGACTTTTGCCTATGTAAATAATAAACTATAGCCTAGATACTAGAGTACTACTTTTAGTTTTGCATTGATAATTATGACTATAACTTAAAAGCCACAATTCTTTAGTTTCTAAGCATAAAAAGATAGAAAGAGATGAACCAGTTACAATGGGATAAAGAAGTGTATGAGCTTGCAATGCTCACTGTTGCAAACAGCCATGTGCATGTCTCACCTCCTGAGTAATTTTTGCAATTTGTTTCCTTCAAGTCCTGTATATATAAATGTACTACTGCATATTGCATAGCCAAACAGTAGATAGCTCTGTTTCTTCTTTAAAAGATCAAGGAGACCTCACCCCGGTGAGTTTTTCCAGTGGGTTTGACCGGATTCCCAAGTGTAGAGTCCTCTTGAACCAAATTTCTATTCTTTATGTTGTCATTTAGAGGCATTCTCTTTAATCCACCACCAAGAAGGAGATCGTTAAGTCTTGTTTTTAACACGCTACCCAATCCTCACGTAATTCTTGCCCTCTTCACAGGAACCTGTACAATTTTTCATCACTAATCCTTAAGTACAGACTTTCAAAATGGAAACAGCAGCACATAACACTTCTGCCCACTGAAACTCTGGCCACTTTTAAGTGTTTTGAGTTGAATGTGAAAAGTGGAGACCCCTAAAATTATTAGACACATTTGAAAACACTGGTCTTATTCTCTTTCAACATTAGCCCATTCTCGTAAAACATTCTCTAATGTGTATTACCAGTGTCTCACCTAAAGTCGTTAGTTACACCAGTTTCAACAGCAGAAGAATCAGGTCTTCAAGGTCTGGCCTTAAAATCTTCATGCTAGAAAATAATAATGAGTTTAAAAGGTTGACACACACTGGAGTTTCAAAAAAGGAGTAAGAGGAACTCCCCTCCCCTGCCCTTGTTCTTTCAGTTTACTTTAAGTAGTGACCACAGTGCAAATAAATTAAATGAGAGACAAAAACAAATACTCTTTCCCCCATCACTGAAACAACTGTTGTGTTCTCAGGGTTTGCAAGGAAAAGCAATATATGTTTCCAGTCCAGTTAACACAGCTGGAGAGGCACAGACAGGTTTTTGGACATTTGAGCTGTTTGTTCTTTATGAAAGCTGAAAAGGCTGTGTTAATTCCCTCCCGCCCTCAGCATTTGTGAGGTGATGTGAATTCCCTGTATTAATACCTCACAACTATCATGATACTTTCTCTACTTGCATCCACAATGATTGTCCAGCTGCCAAAAGTGGCATCTGAAGTGGAAATTTAGGGGGGATCCTGAAGTGCAAAAAAGTATCTGCAGGAGGGGAAGGAGACAGGAGTCAGCACTTTGGGCCAAGATATTTGGTTATAAATCAGTGCATTATCAAAAAATACAGGTGATTTTATTTTAGCCAGGTAAGTGATGAAGTGACCATCCTGGGAGCGGACTGGTGCCGTGACAGCCAGACTATTGCTTAGGATACCCAGAACATATTAAAAATCAAGTTGCAAAGTACTCATTGGAAGAGGTGAGGCACCATCCATAAAGGGCCATGTAGAAAATCTAACCAGGCTTTGCCTTAGCTGTGGCTCCTGGGAGAGCCTTGCACTTCCTGTGTCTCCAACTGCACCCTAACAGGGTGGATAAGATTTGAACTTGAGATCAATTTGAAGATGTTGTGACTCTTTCTAGCTTTCTAAATCATAAAGGACAATGACCTTGTAGCTGGTGAGCACATCAGTGATAGACTAGTTTATTGTCAGGTAGTTAAACAGTGTCATTTGTTACCAGTTAACAATTGCATTAGTGACCAAGGTTTTAACACCAGGTCTGTGCTCACTACACAGCTGCATAATAGAAGATGAAAACTTGGCATTTTTTTACCACATTACACATATGGAAAATCAAGGTTAACCTGCATTGAGAGAGTTTGAACTGAAAAATAAACAAAATCTAATCAGCTGTGGCTTCATGTAGCCTTCAAAACAGCTATGGTCAGAGAGCAGCTGTGATTTATTTTTAATGTTTACTGATATGTTAAGGATGTTACCTCTCTGTTATATGGAAGGAAGGAAACAAGGAAGGAAGGAAAGAAGGAAAGAAGGAAGCTGCTTTTTGACTTAGTATACTGTTAACATTATAAAAGCAACTAACTTCCTTCAGAAGTAGTATTTGCTCTTAGAATCCTAACTTGTGCTTTCTAATACTCTGAGGAAACAAAATCTGCTTTGAGAGCAGACATCCGAAAGGCAAAGAGGGATTTTCTCAGGGAAACAAAAAGAACCAACTGCCACAATGACTCCAAACTTTTCTGGCTTTGCCCTTTGGGGTTTTGCAAGCAGTGAATTAAACCCCCTCTTAAGTAGCCCACACTGTGTTACGGGGCCTGCAGACCTCACAGAAAGAGACACCTCTACGTTGGCACTTTACCATTTATCACTCACTGAGTAGGCTTTGGAGGCTACCTCAGTTTACTGGGGCCTCATGAAGGGGTCTCCAGCTCACTTGGTCCCTACCCCAGGACTGTGTTTATGTAGTAATTATAGCCATGACAGCTAATTGAGTTTTTCCAATCAATCACTCTGGAAGTTTTGTTTGTTTTCCTGTGCTAGGGAATGGGAAAGGTTTTGCCTTTTTCTAAACAGTGAGAAAGAAATTAAGGATATTTTTCAGGCACAATTTGAAAATTATTATTTTAAAATGATTCAATTAGTGGAAATCCTACTTAATTTGAGACTTTATGTAAGAACACTAACTTTTATCTGTACTTTACAGTAGATAATCAAAATAATTTCGTAACAGAAGTCAGTTCCCCTTCAGTTGATACACACAGTGGTGAAAGATGTTACAAAGTACTGCACAAGCTGGAAATAATTGTCAGGTCTCTAATAATCACTGTTCTCAAGTGATTATTAGACTATACAAGCTCCAGCATCAGACAAGAACCATACAGGTCATTACAGGCAGAAGTATCAAGGTTTATTGCTGCAATGGGGAGAAGGGATCTTCTTGTTCATTGCTA